TCCTGAAATGCCCGCTTGGGGGTTTGCTTCTTTTTTTTTTGGCCATACATCCACAAGCATTCGCTCGAATGGAAACGAGAGATTGAATTTGACATACACAAATGATAGAACTTGCTCTGGAAGTTTGTATTTCTGAGCTCGATGGGACAAGATTGGAATACAAATGGAGTGTGTTAAGGGTCGATAGTTACATGTACACGAAATGACACGTCAAGACAAGGGTAGAATTTATGATGTATTTCGAATAGTTGTATTGAGGAATATAATACATCAAATAGGTTTATTTGTTGATCTACAGAGAGGCAATCAAGTGGCTTCAGTATGCTCATCAGCAAAAAGGCTCTTTTGTAAACCATTCGTACGAACTGTGTTTGTTGTGAAAATCTATTTTCCATTTTCCCTGTCATTATACATATGACGGTGATTCATGACGACATCCTTTCAACACTGTTGCAAGATGTCGATTCATCTGTAAATAGTTTCTTTTCAAAGCATATGGGTACTTGTTGTTCGTACTGTTCATAATTGAAAATTGTTGAACCCAACCAAAAAAGTTTATTTCTTAATTTTATGTTATCAATATGACTCTGTGAGTTTTTTCACCTATTCGGCTATTCATAGGATTGAACAACAACTCTCTCTGTGAGAAAGAAGAAAGCAACGAGATGGAAATTGAATCCCGCCAAATTTTGTACATTTTTCAAACATTTAAAAAATACACGCAATAACCAACTAACTACAACATCCCCTTGAAAGAGGAGTCAATCACATCGGAATCTCTATACCCTTACACATCCAATACAAATCACACTAAAACTATTTATTATGAGCTCCTTGAGAAAGACTGATTATTTGAGAAAAGCCTCACCAACAACGTCGTTACCATCGAAAAGCGGCATCGGAAAGAGAATAAAATTGAGTGATGAACAAAAACAAGAAATTAAAGAGGCCTTTGAATTATTTGATACGGATAAAGATGGATATTTGGATGCACATGAATTTAAAGTTGCAATGAGAGCTCTCGGTTTCGACATTAAAAAAGAAGAAGTGCTGAGGTTGATGAGAGAGAATCTTGATGAGAGACCTCTTGACGATTCACATCCCATGATGATCAGCTCCGATTCATTTCTGCAGGTGATGACGGACAAGATTTTAGAACGAGATCCGTTAGATGAAATTAAGAAAGCTTTTAAACTCTTTGATGAAGATGGAAATGGTAAAATAAGTTTAAAAAATTTAAAGAAAATTGCAAGAGAAATTGGAGAAAGTATGAGTGAGGAAGAGCTGCAAGCAATGATCGACGAGTTTGATCTTGATAGAGATGGAGAAATTAATGAAAATGAATTCATTGCCATCATGAGCAATAATGATGATTTGTAAATAAAGAACTCCAAGTTGATAAATAATCAAAAGCAGTTTATCTTCTAATTAAATAACAGAACACACCTAAAAAAATTTAAATATTATTTATTGGCCCTTCGGTGCCTCAGTACGTTACATTAGACGTTCGTTTAGTAAGGATACAACTTCAGAATGTCAAATGTTTTTGTAAGGATATTTCAAATATTAACAGGTTTCTTGCTTGTTTTGAGCAACTGCTATAAATGGAGCGGGTTAAGTCCATCGATGAACAGATGGCGAAAATAATGCAAGGATTGTTCTATTAATGTTTTTTGAAATATCAATGGTTAGTAATATTGGGTTATCAATAATCATATTAATAGGTCACGAATTAGTAAATAGTGCTGATTAGTCAATAAACAAATATATAAGATTACCAGTTTGTTCTTCATAGGATTCATGTCATAATAGTCGTGGTACAGCAGGGTGGAGAGCAATCCTGGATCCAATAAAGGGTGAGATGTTTTTTTCTTAATCCTCTAACCACTACATGTTTCTTGTCGAGTTGATGTTTGGTCAAGTGGATCGTAAGTGCTTGTCCAATTTCATCGTCGTCATGAACAACGTGGTGGTGAACTTTGTTCATCTTTTGGTTAGTTTTTCTTCTTGGCTTGGCTTTGACGGTTGTACGTGGTTTCTTGGGTTGTATTCTCATGCTTGTTTTCTCAGGTGTTAGTGGCGTTGGTCGTTCGGTATTAATTTCTGGTGGCTTTTTCTCTGGTTTTTCAACATTTGAATTATTGACGGTTTCAATTGGTGGATGGTGTGTGTTTAAAGTAATGTGATGAGGGTGCTGTGTACTTTCCTCGTGGTTTTGTATGTATTCATCGAGTATGTTATTTAATTGTTGGAGGGTAAAGATAATGTAATGCGTTTGTTGTTCAATCTTTGCTAACCGTTTTTCCAAGCTGTGGAGCATGTCAGAGTCTTTTCTATTGATCATCTTGCGGTATTTTTTAAGGGCTCGCTTCACACCAAAAAATTTGTCAATCCCACACACTTGCTCAAATCATCAATTAAATTTCGGAAAAGCAATTTCAACACCCTCTCATCATGCCAAAGGAAATCTCTTCGCTTGCTGTTCCAGAGTCTAAATTACAGCTGCTATTATCGGCTACTCCGTTCATCGGAACAAATTTGGAGACACTAAAAGCAAGGATACTTTCTGATAGTAAGTTTATTTCTGAATTTTTGAAATTGTTGATTTATTGTGTGGATATCCATATATCGTTTCCGTAAAGATTTTCATGCTTTCAAAGTTGATCAACTGAAAGAAATGATTAAATTTCTCAGAACACACGCTGGCAGGCGGGATTTAGCACTTTCGGGAAACAAATCGGATCTTGTTGCTAGGCTTTCTGTAGCCTTTTTTCAACCTGGACAACCTACTTCTTCTTCATCATCCACAGCCTCTTCATCTAACACCTCTTCAAGCACACCACCACCATCAAAAACAACCTCTCAACCTAAATCATCCTCTTCTTC